ATCCTGCTCGGCGGGCAGGAGGGGGTTCGTCGGCAGTCCCAGCGGCTTGCCGGGGGTAGTTGCCTTGTAGGGAAGAGGGGTCTTTAGGACACCGGCAGTGATGTCCTTCGGAAGGTCAACAAGGACGGGACCCGGGCGACCCGACGTCGCAATCTTGAAGGCTTCGTTGATGCGACGGGGAAGTTCAGAGATGTCTTTGACCATGACGTTCCACTTTGTACACGCTCTTGATATACCGACGACATCGGCTTCTTGAAAAGCGTCCGAGCCGATAGCTGAAGTCGCCACCTGACCGGTGAAGACGACGAGGGGAATGCCATCGCTGAGTGCGTCCTGCATCGGAGTAATGACGTTCGTGGCACCAGGACCGGAAGTTACGAGGACAACTCCGGGCTTGCCCGTCACACGAGCGTAGCCCTCGGCCATATGACCGGCGCCTTGTTCGTGTCTCGGAAGGACGAAGTCGAACTGGGGGGAGTTGTAGATTGCGTCGAACACGGGGAGGATGGCGCCGCCGGGATAGCCAAAGATGTGCTTGACACCGTGCCGGACCATCATCTCATGGAAAATCTGGCCACCGGACATGCCCACGAAGGAATGATCCAGAGGACCCTCCGTATGGGGAGGAAGGGAAGGAGAGGGGGAAGAAACGTTGTTTCTTGTAGGCAGCTGCTGGTACCCCGGCGCTGGTGAGGGCCGCCTACATGTATGCGTGCTGTCAGCGACACCCAACGAGGAAAAGTATGTGTGGACACATACACGGTATTGACTGCGGTTGCCTTGCGAGTACTTGTCCTGCTGATGTTCCTAGCATGCTCGCTCACCCTTGACTTGGCCTCGAGCATGGAGCCGCTCGAGCTTGCGACGGAGGAGCGAGCACGGGTGAACTGGGCGGGGATGGCGACTTTTGAGACAGACGGGACGCGCATCCTAGAAGCCGACAGGGACATTCTGGCGAGCGACGGCAACGAAGGGGAGAGGAGGACGAGGAGCCGTCCACGAAAAACTGGCGAGCCAGAACCAGTCAAGAGCAGTCTTTAAAGACGACCCGAGTCATCTCGCGGCTCATCTAATCACCTGATTCCTCCTATTCTTGTCACCCTAGCTCAGGGTTAGGGTTTCTAAATCAGGCATTAGAGTGTCTGCTTCCTCTTCTTCCTTCTCATCGAATTAGCTGCGCTGGGACCTTCCGTAATGGCTGCCCTCTCTGGCAAGGACATCGTGCGATATCTAGTCTTCTGCAGACGCAGCTGCTTTCTCATCAGCGGAGTTGCTCGGGTGTATCAGCTTCAGGTGGTTGTATGAACCCGTCCGACAGCTCTCCCACTGCAACTTGAACTCTTCCTCCACACACCCCAAAATGCGTCCAGGTACCGCAGTATCCGGGCTACCCGCTAGCAAAGTACCACTACGTCATCTATAGATTGCTCCTTGCTTCCTCATACAGATACCACTGCGACAACGACGCTGTAACTAGCTTCTCAACGAGGTGATCATCGTCATCCGGACGTTCTATGAAACCTAACCTTACGGGATTAACGTCGTATCGGGTAACATATCGTCTCTACCTCTATCTTACGCGCGCTGGACACTGACTCACCTATCTCGCGTTGCCCGCCATTGTCCACAGACACCACCTCGAGCCCCCATTTAACCACATTGCCCAACTGCCACTTCATACCTTCCTGCAGTAGCGGCCACATCACATACATCACTACAGGGCATAGTAAGGTACCCAAATCTTGGAGCCTCAACGGCTCCGTGAGTATTCCAAACGCGAGAATCGCGTTTGGAAAGAATCCCCGAGAATTCAAATGCATCGGGCACTGTGAGAATCAGCGGCGCTTTAAACATCCCTTCTGGTCTTCTTACATATCTCCATGCGATAACCACTCACTAGTATGCCCAATTGTTCAGTTACCCAGCCAGACGCACTGTCCTCATCTAAGCACTCATTATAGTGAATGTTGCACTGGCAGTGATGATGGGCCGCGCAACTGACCTGGATTGTTCTAAGCATCGCACCGGCGAGGGAAAACGATGAACGAGTGTATGCGGAGCAGCAGCGAGCATCAACGTCGTCGTCGATTTCCTCGCATCACGGAGCGAACGTCTAAGCGGTGGGGTTAGTGCGGCGGAAGAATGCATGCCGCACTACTACGTCCTGATCGTGAGTCCAGACTTTGCCATATCATGAGGTCGCACGGCATGCTGACTACAAAACGTTGCCAGTGAGAGTCCAACTGACAAGGCAGCTCTAGTCTCATGTAAGGTGCACCCTTCTAGTATTCTGACATGGAGACCACGACGCTTCTGACTACGTAGTATTATCACATCCCATCCGAAACAGCACCGATTGGCGGCTTAGTTGTGATAGAAGCATCGTTCATTCGGGATCCTGTCAACGCATCCTTCTGCATACCGCAAGCCTATCTGCAGAAGAACTCGAGAGGGCATGTTGATCTTGATCAGTCTGACGTATATAGGTTGAAGATGCTCCGCCGGTCAACAGCACTTATCTACCATCCCATCTACATCGGACCTGTCAATGAGTTCGACAGAACGTCGGAACTTTGCAAGTCGAGCAAGCGACCGACGATGAATAATATGTAAGGGGTGACATGTGCGTCGCGCAAAGGGCACAGGCGCACATCGAAGTGACAGAGATTACCATTGCTTGACAGGTACATATGAGCGCGGGAATCGATCCCATCTAAAAACAGCTCTTTTTGATGAATGGACAAATACTGGGGACGACGGGAGTCTCTGAGCCCCGCAACGCCGGTGCCCTCTGACAGTGACATCATCCGGATTCAGCCGTAGGCGTTATGCCAAGTCAGGTGGTACCACTACCTATCGTCTTATGCTTTACATGCTTATATGCAGTACTTAGGGGCTTTCGGGGTCTCGGGCACGACCCGCCGACGATGAGACTGGCTGAAGACTGCCCTCCGCGGATAAGACGTTAGCTAGCCTTACCTTGGCTATATCTCTTCGTCGTGGCATCGGACAAGCCCGCGCCCAAGAGGAACACAAGAACGTCGTGACTTACGTCGGCTACACCCCGTCCCGCAACAAGGCGAACGAGTGTCTTGGCTGAGTTGATATAATACTACAGCAGCACACCAAGAATGCTTGTGCAGTGAATTGGTTTTGTATCGTAACTACAACGGTGCAGTAAAGTAACTAACACACAACGAACGCGTAGACTGTTGCTATAGTCGTATTGCAATCGTCTTTGTTCTGCTCGAAGGCAGTCGTACCGCGCGTGATCTCTAGCTGGTTCTACAGCCTAGAGTGCTCACACGCGAACGTCATGCGGGCATACAAGGCCTCGCATACAAGCCTACGGCGACATGCGGCGACACGAAGACGTCCAAAATCGTAATGGAGCGCGCATAGAGGGCTTCTGCGGCGCTTGGTCCTATCTTGGCGAATCGACTAGCGGCGGGGTGTGTGCGTATCGCTGCGCGAATAACATCAGTACTTGCTGTGTGCATAGATATTCAAAAGAATACTCACAATCGGGTCGATGCGCACAAGCGGATGGCGTACACGAGGACGAGCGTGCGGGTCACCGAAGAGGGGGCGTCCACTTGGCTTTCTCAGACAGGTGCGCCGGTGCGGGCTGGGCCACGAGGCGGGCGTTAGCAAGTTCCAAAATGACCCGAACAGCGAGAAAGGAGAGGGCGATGTACTCACGGGTGACGGAGAGCGGTTGAACGACGTACGCGAGACGTACGGGCCCTTCCATGCATACTGCTGCTCACGTACGCCCGCGGTGAGCCTCTCGTCCGGTGCGCGATTGTAGACGGACTGCCGTGCCCTCCGGCGTTGGCGCCATTTGAGAAAGAGGACGATTGCGGCGACGCCGGCTATTATGATAGCTGGAGGCAACAGCGGGTAAGGACAGGGACAAGGACGTGCGACAGCGTTAGGGGATGTAAATATAACTCACCAGACACAACTGCCACGGCAACCACCCAAGGCGCATTCAGATGTCCGTCTGGTCCGTCTTCTTCCTCTTCCGGATCGAAGTCACTGCGAGCGAGGAGATGAAGTATGAGAAGCGGGATTGGCAGGGCACGAAGGCGCTACTCACTTTGAGAAGCTGGTGCCAGCACGCCTGCTGAGTGGACTGGCAGTGGCAGGCGACGATAATAATAACGCAAGCAGAGTCAGGAAACACGACAAGGGCTCCATTTCGAGTGCGATGCGAGGGTTCGTCTGGTTCACCACAGGAGTACAGCAGACCGTCCAAGGTGCAGGTAGCGAAAATGAGAACAGGAGAGCAACGGACGACCGCTCAGTCGAGGTAAACGGATTATAAGGGAAGTCAAGCATTTAGAAGACCCTTGGCGGCGAGGAGCTGAGGCTGGAGGGCATCGCGGGCGGTTCCCATGCTCGCCAAGTAGCTTAGAGGTGGACGACTTGGCAAGCCAAGAGATCTGCCCCCAGCGAGCAGTCCTCCCGGTCCTGCCGGTGGATCGCCATATCGGCACGGAGTGGCTCGGCACATCTCCGAAATCCCTACCACTGCATTCAAGTTTGAGCGAACTGGCAGTCGTATTAAGTAAAGTAATGATACACAGACCTGCACGAACTTATCCACTTGCGATCATTGCATAACAGTTCAGTAGAACCCAAGCGTTTGGCACACCAAGATCAGGAGAAAGCCTTCCCTCCATCACCTGCACTCTCATCCGCCAGTTCGAGTCAAGAAGCTGTTCCAGAGGGTGGCTGCGATGTCGTATCTGGGTAGCTTGTTTAGCTGAAACCTTCATCCTAGGCCCTAGGGAATTGAGATTCAGGATATAAATCACGTGATCTCCGTAAGAGATTACTTGGTGCCCCGAACACGGGCCGTACCTAAGTACTACCAGTCTCCCTCAGATGTGGCCTCCAAGTCGAACTGGCGAACATGCATTTAACTACGCTGTTGGATTACAAGTGTTAGGTTGACGAGGAGTGGCGGACAAAACAATGCGAACAAGAAACAATGGACACACTGGGAATTGAACCCAGCACCCCCGCAGACGCACTGATGCTAAGCGGATGTGATAACCAACTACACCATGTGCCCATGTATGTTACCTCAAGCACATGCATAATAGCACCTTTTCCTGAGAACATAACTGAAATAGCCAGTTACACAACTGTCCAGTGAGCCGTGTGTAAGTGCACTGTGCAACATGTTCTCAGCAGCAATACGGACCAGCTACGGGGCTGCTGGCACTACCAGGGCGCACCGCTCTTTCAGTCAAACAGTGACACGTATGACCGCTGCTGCCGCATTCGTACAACAGGGCAAGAAGGTATACGTACAGTCTTTGGGCGACGACATTCCTGAGTTCAAGTAACACGACAGACTGATGCATACGTGTTTCATCATTAGATTGTGGCCATCGGCCGGAACTATGGAGAGCATGCCAAAGAGCTGAACAACGCCGTTCCGACGGAGCCCATCATCTTCCTCAAGCCGACGACGAGTTACCTTCCATCCGGAGGGAATGTCGAGATCCCCAAGGGCGTTCTCGCTCACTACGAAGGTGACTCTCGTCTCTCACAGGCTCACAGTCCTATGTCTGCGTTCTGATGTGATTCATACCAGTGGAACTCGGCGTCGTCGTTGGCAAGCGGGGACGCAACGTCCCCGTGTCCGAAGCCGAGAGTTACGTAGCGGGTTACGGTAATAACATCCACATTTCACGTAGCCATGAGTGTCCTGACTCGCCTTGTTCTCTTTGGTAGCTCTTGCCGTTGACATGACCGCCCGTAATGTACAAGAAGAGATCAAAGCCAAGAGGCTGCCATGGACGGTCGCCAAGGGCTTCGACACATTCACGCCTATCAGGTATGTCAGCACTTGCGCCAGAAACCCCTAACGCAGGAATTCACGAATGCTTGGACAGTTCTTATATCCCCAAGGAGTCAGTCGCTGACGCGGCCAACCTTGGCCTCACCTTGAAGGTGAACTTCTGTTTGACATGAGAGGCACTTGGCAATCCGTGCTCACGACTGGGCAGGTGAACGGCGCGGTGAAGCAAGACGGGAACACCAAAGATATGCTCTTCCCTATCCCCGTCTCATCCAGCATATCTCTACGATCATGACGCTCGAGGTTAGAGACATACTATTCTCGTTGCGAGTGGGCGATAGCTGATGCCTTCATACCACAGGAGGGAGACCTCATCCTGACCGGCACTCCGTCCGGTGTCGGACCGGTCGTGCCTGGGGACAAGGTCGAGTGTACTCTAACAGACGGCACTGGCAAATCACTTGCAACACTCGACTTTGCCGCCGTCCAGCGCGAAGGCGGTTATCAGTACAAGCCTGAATGAGCTCGTCATCGGGATGAAACGTCGCTATGCGCACCACTAGGAGTCTTGGAAATGTCTACATATAAGAAATGTCATCGTACACTATTGACAAAGTCGTAAATATTGATTCATGAACCGCCTGAGATGATAGACAAGACACAGATGGACATCACGGGGCAAGAAAGCGATCTACACACGACAGCAGCACTAGCGGCCGGTAAGCATACAGTATTCAAAGCGTACATCGTCTAGTTATTGTCGCGCGCAGTCCGTTCGTCAGGGTCCCTGTTGGCCTCTGTCGACCTGCGTTCTCCCTCCTCGAAAGAGCCGGCGCTCGATGCGCTCGCAAAGCTCCAACTGTCCGCGCCAGTAGGCGTAAGTGAGCCATCCTCTTCTAACGAGCCCGAGCTCGCACTCTGGAAATCCCCGAAGTCCCCGAAAGAGTCGAAAGAGCTTTCTGCCATGAACTCGTCCGTCGACGCTGTTGTGAACGTGAATGGATCCGACTCTCTAGTAGCAGCAGTGTCGGAGAATGGCCCAAATGCATCCTGAGGATACGAGTTTCAGTGATCGGCAATGACAATGCACCATCTGTACTCACGTCCTCAAAAGGATCTTGAAACGTCGTGTGTGAGGTGGTAGAGGATGACGACGGATTGAATGCATCCTGGATACCGGGTTAACAATTGTCATATTCTAGTTGTTGGTAACGCTCACGTCGAAAGCACTGGCACTCAGTGGTCTGCGATCACTATCATGCTGGCGCGCAGTGACTGGAGGAGGTCGCAATTCAAACGCAGACTGCGCCAACCAACCGCCCTCCTCTTCGTCGTCTGACGCCTCATCTGAGGATCCCAGATGGTCGGATGATTGGATCTCGTGTACCAGATAATGTGCGAACTATTTCATTCACCTGCGGTCAGTCGCGGATGATAGTGGAAGAGCGCGCAAAGGCACGCACGCGTGAAGGCGCGGAGAACTCGTCGTCCTCGTCGTCCATGGGCATTGAGCCAAAATCGGCGCTACCCTCTCTCCGGTTACTTGACGACCTGCGGAACTCGCCCTTCATCTCCGGGGCCGGCTGCTTCTGTTCTGCCCTGGGCGGGACTGACGTCGCAACGGTGTCTGCCTCGTCGACCTTCCACTGGGTAGCACCATTCCTCATAGACGGAGCAACAACCGGCTTTCCACCACCGAGAAGGCTCGAGTCCTTCTTCTTGGTCTCCTTGTACCGTCCAGTCACATATTCGTCCCATTCAGGCTGAGGAGCATACTGGGCAATTTGCAGGCGGAGATCGGGAGGGAGATGTTCAAGCGCACCAATGACGTGCTCTGAGATGAGCGTGAGATGGCCCATGTAGCCTAACCTTACGCCTTTAGGCTTTTCACTGAAGATCTTTTCAGCGGGGAGCATATCCGCAGGAACTTGAAATACACACCTCTCAACGTCATTGCGTTTTGAACCTTCGATGATACGATGCATGAGTCTCGCGTCGCGGAACAAGGAGACAGTCAGCTCTCTGTTGTACCCGCCATCGACCCGGCCGGTCAAAATCTGGTGTATCAAATCGTACACAGCGCAATGCAAAAAGTTGTTCCACGGAAACTCGAAGAACAGATCCTGCACAACATGAGATCAGTTCTGCTCTATTTCAGGCAGCCGAATCAAAACATACCAGCAATGTTGATGCCACGTTGGCTTCCAAGAATCGTTGCTTGAGACGCTCACCCAACACCGGACGGCCTGCCAAAAGGTCTCTCGTCGATCGTCGCACGCTCCGACGAGAGTCTCTTGACCGAGGTCGTGATCGCGACCCTTCGGCGTCGGAGTTCCAGGAGTTCTGGCGTTGCGGGAAGGAAGAGATATCGCCTGGAGCATTCAAAGGAATAGATGGTGATAGAGTGATCGGGGATCCGACCCGAGCGGGAGCTTGGTTGCTTGGGGGACTGGGGTCTGCTCTTGGGGAGTCGTACATCGCAATCTCCTCCATTGCCTCATCGTCAGAACTTCCAGGTTCACCGCCGCTCATATCTTCATCTGAATCAACTAGTGATGATGACGGCGCATGCGAAACGGGGAACTCATGAACAGATTCGACCTCGTCTTCCTCGTCATCCATCCCATCATTGTCACCGCTTCCGTTCCCGATCGCGATAACTTGAGCTAATTCCTCGAGGGCAGATAGACCGCCTTGCAAACGACCGATGGAGTCGTACAAGTGGTGGTATTCCGCCCCGCGATTGAGAAGCGACATATTGGAGCAATGAAGGAGTTCCGCATACAGCTCGCATATTCGATATCTCTCGAAGGTCAAGGGAGGGATTGCGCCCAAAGTGGTTAAAACGGGCCCATTCTACATACGTGCTTTAGTTCACGTTAAGCGCGATAGAAAATCTGCGTACCAGAGAACGCGGCTCCTTCAGGAACCGTTGCAATTTGTCAAGATGGTCGCACATGAGCTCCAGGACAGGTCCCAAGTGAACAACACCCATCCGGTTGACCATCTCCTTCATGGCCGTCTCCAAGGCCTCGCGAGCGCCATCCTGAGGCAGCGTCTGCTGTACCTGGATGAGTCGGTTTCGGAGGGTATGGAAGAGATACGGCTCAAAGTAGTCCGAGTTGTTCTGCCGAATGAGCTCGATGATGATACAGATGGACTGGACCACAGACGAGGAGGCAGACTCTTGGGTAATTGAAGTGTCCTCGGACCTGTCCTTGTCCGCCATGTGTGGCCCAAACTCGTGCAAGATGTAGCTGACCAACTTCGAGACATTGTCGCGATGGGCGAGCTCACGAGCGAAGACGTTCGACGCAGGAGGATGGCTCAAGCCGTCAGAGATACCCACTGCAGGAGAGGGCGCCGCCATCGAGATTATGCCCTTGATGAGCTCAGCGACCACTGTATGCATGTCGCTGCTGTGTGCGGGGGAAAGCAAGTCGATAAGGCGCGACATCAGGCTCTCCTTCGACAGCCACTGCATGCCTTGGGGTAAGAGGGGTCCGGGGGAGCGCACATGACGCATAATGAGGTACATACTTCAAGAACACCAGCACCTGCCGGGTGCTCGTCCAGTTGGATGATACGGACGAGGAGGTCCGCGAATGGAGGAGTCTCTATATGCCGCAATATCCGCTCAACAATGTCGTATTGTGCTTGTATGAATGCCAACATCTGAGCATGGCGCTCAGAAATCACGCCACAACAGAATGGGGGTGAGAGATGAATGTATTCACCTCCGCAGGCTTCTTGCCCAAGAAAGCAACGTTTACTTTGGCGAAATGAGTCGCCATCATCACTTGGCTCCGTACCTCCTCCGGTGACTTGTCGAGAACGGTCTCCCAGAAGGGCACGAGCAGCTTGTCTTGGTGGTTGACTGCGGCGTCCACTATGGACCATATGTCGCTGCACAAGACCTCGGTCGCGACATATGGATACCTCAGGCATTCGTCCACTAAGCCGTATTGCATGCTACAGACGTGAGTTGACACTCACTTGAAACTGCCCTTGTCCCCGCCTTCGATCTGCCCCGTCACGTACCCAAACAGCCGCTGCAACACATCGACACGAGAGAAGTAGTCGATAAGTCGCGTGTTCTGCGCTTTGCACTCCTGGAGGAGATCGTCCTCGTCAAGTATTGCTTCCAGGGAGACCTCCTCCTTATCTAGGAGACTGTCGATTGCGGACGCATTATGAAACCCGAATCTGCTGGCAGACTGGGTTCAGACAGCTCGCGGACGGAGAGCGATCTGTGTACCTCCAAA